GCGGAGCAGACAGTGTTTCATTCTGCTGTACAGTGTCCCAAGGAATCAGAAACAACTCAACATCACCTACCAGCAACAAGGAGCCTCCACTAAGGGCGATGGGCAGTACAGACAGTTTGCTCTTGACTACTAACCAAAAAGCTGGTGGTTCAAGTCCAGCTCAAACCAAAATCCAAACTCACTGCCATTGAGTCAATGTCAACTCATAGCCACCCTATAGGACAGAGCAGAACTGCCCCTGTGAGTTTCCAAGACTGTAACTATCTATGGGAGGAGAAAGATCCATCTTTCTACCATGGAGGAGCTAGTGGGTTTCAAACTACAGACTTTGTGGATCACAGCCCAATACATAACCACTATGCCACCAGGGCTCCTCTGAACCCACCTAACAGCACCAAAGGGGGAAAAAATTTTAAGTGTGGGGAGGAGGGACAGGTTGCCACCTGCTTCTGGAAGAGGACAGCCGTTGAAATCCCAATGGATTCTATTCTGAAACACATGCATATCCAGGAGTTAGAATCACCCCGACAGCAGCTAGCTTGTTTGGGGTTTGTAGCATCCACTCTGTGCCAAGGACATGATTCCACTGTGCCATCTTGGACACCCTTCAAAATGGGGATCTGTCTGTAGCCCCACATAATAGATTAAAAAAAAAAAAACTGCACACACACACACATCCCCCAAACCTGCTCAGCAGAGCCAGCACTCCAGACCAGATCTGTCTGTAACCCCTCCTCACAAAGACTCTGGGTTCACATGACTCACGTGCATGATGTGCGCGCTCTTGTTGAAGATCTTCATATAGGGCTTCAGAATGTCAAAATGGAAGGCGGATGTCAGCAGGTGGCGGTGGCGGCTCCACTTGTCACCACCACTCAGCAGGAGTCCATCCCCTAGTAGGGGCAGCCGCGGTCAGTGGGCAAGGAAATGACCTTCCCCAGGACCCCAAAGTTGTCCCCAAGCCCCTTTGACCATAGTTACTCACCAAGCCAGGGCTTCAGGAAGCCATAGAAAAACATGTCCTTGGGCACAACGCTGGCTAATGTGAGAAACAGACCATGAGGGGCCATGGAGCGGAGACAGGGAAGGGCTTGGGGGTCAGGGTGTGGGCTCCCAGCCAGGGGTTCTGCCCTTCCTCCAACCAAGCCCAGGAGAGCAGGAATTGGGATAAGGGCAGAGGAAGCAAGGAGGAGGGGAGGCATGGGATAGCAGACCAGGCTGCAGCAGCAGGCGTAGGGCAAAATCAAATAGGCTAGGCACACCCTGTTTATGGATTGAATTCTAGCGCCCCCCCAAAATATGTGTTGAACACCCTAACTTCTGTGCTTTCCGTTATAATCCCACTTGTCTTTGTTAATGAGTCAGGCTAGTGTAGCCTGTGTCTTGAGTGAATCTCTTTGGAGATAGAAAAGAGATTAAATTTAAGACAGAAGCAGAGATGGAGGAAGAGAGGCCAAGTCACATGAAGATGGTCCGAGAGGAGATGCTCAGAAGAGACAAGGACCTTCCTCCGGACTCCACAGAGAGAAAGCCTTCCCTAGAGCCGGTGCTCTGAACTCCGACTTCCAGCCTCCTCACTGTGAGCAAATAAGTGTCCCTGTGCAAAAGGTACTTCCTTGTGGCCTTTCTTTTCCAGCGACACAAGACGGGATCGTCTGAGGCTACTCTAGGTCCAATGTTGCCAGAACATCGAGCACCGCTGGAACTGCCTCAATGGCCCCAACAACACCACCATGGGGATGAACTTCCTTTTCCGTGGGCACTGAGCTTGTGGGACTTGCCTCTACCAGCAGGAGAGGGAGGCAGTCACAGCAGAAACGAGAATGAAGAAAGGAGGTCAGATTCCTGATGGCACTGTTTCTGGCTTGGATCCAGACATGCCTGAAGGCAACCCTCCCTGGGCCTTCCAATCCAGGATTCTCTTTCTTTGCTTGGAGTTTCCACCAGTCACAACTGAAAGGGATTTCAGCAACCGGAGAGCCAGGGCCCCGCCCAGACTCACTCGGCTGGTTCACAGTGCTCAGTCTCTACTAGGTGCTATTCGCTCCCCTACTCAGCCTGGCCTGTCCGAGGGTGGGAAGGGCAAGGAGCAAGGGAAAGCCTAGGGCTAGGGGGCGGGCTCCTGGAAGAGATACCTGGGGCCTTTAGCACGGGGGCAATATACATAGGGTGGACGAGGCGCAGAACGGGGTGCAAGGGCCCCATCCACCAGACGTGGATGTCAAGGAAGAAGTGGCCCAGGTCCTCCAACAGTCGCAACCCCTCCTCATTGTTCTGGACCTGGGGACAGAAAGATGATGCCATCCCTGGTGGGGGCCTAGGGTGCTGCCATTCACATGCCAACACCCTGCCCCTTGCTGCCTATTGGCCTATGCCTGCACCCACCTCATTGGGTCAGCCCCTGTCCATGGGGTTAAATTTCTCTGTCTCACAGGGTCCTGTGTGCGCTCCCTGTCTCATCACTCTCGGAACCTGGTGCTCTCGCTCACTCTCACTCACTCTTGCTCTCTTGCTCCGTCTCTGTCTTGCGTTCTCTAGTATTCTCTCTGTGTCTTGTTGTGTGTGTGTGTGTGTGTGTGTGTTGCACTTTCTCTTTTTCCCTTTTGTGCACTATCTCCTGATCTCTCTCTCTCTCTCTCTCTCTCTCTCTCTCTCCTCTGTCTCTCCCTCACTCAGTCTCTGTCTTTTGCTCCCTTGCATGCTTTCAGTCTCTCTCTCTTTCTCTCTCTCTCTCCTTCCTCTCTCTCTG